AAATGGGCGACTCCGGCAGGAGAAGCCGGGGCTGTGGCGGAGCCGCCCGCGTGGGGCACTGCGGGTCGGCCATGTACCGGTCCTGGGGAAGCGCGCCCGTATTTTTACCTGAAAACTGTGCTTTGCCCAAAGGACGGACGTAGCGCCGTTCCCGGAGCATAGTGCGAGGAAATGAAGGACTCCCCTTCTTCAGAGTCTGCGAAAGACATCTGAAACTGCTAGCAGGCCTGATGGCCCAGCTGTGGCAGTAGGGGTTAGTTCCTCTTCTGGGGCGCAGTACCGGTCTCCCCGTAGTTGACAAGGGACCTCATTCTTACTGAGATGCTGGTTAAAACAGGCAAAGCTGAAAGGATTTCTAGTGCCCTAATGGCCATCGTGCTGTGTCAGATGTTGCAAAGGCCAGTGTTGGATCTAGCTGCCAGCACTGCTGTGCGTGCTGGGGTTGCCCTGGATGGATTTGTGTTCCTGAACAGGATGGGTTTTCTTCCGAGAAAATGCTAATGCAGATGTACAAGGTAACTATCCAGGGAAAATCGCTGAGCTGCGCACGGGTGGACTGTTTACAACATAACCATTTCACGTGCTATTAGCAGAGACCTGCTCAACTCCACGTGTTGCGTAGGAGGATAAATGAGCACCACAATTGGAGAACTATGGAAAACGTGAATGATAGGATTCTTTATCTAAAAGCTGGTCTGACAATCCCTTAACATTGGAATAGAAGCTCCATATTTGTGTATTTAATACACCAATTTACAAAACCCAAGCTAGTTAAATAGTAACATAGTCAAAGGTAACCTTTTCTGCTTTTATTTTTGGCCTGCTTTTTTACTTACACTGCTTTACCTGGTTATAAGTAAATCATGTTTAAAATGGAAGTAGTTGTTTCAGTAAGAGCAAATTGAGCTTAAAAATTGACTTAGTCGTCTTAGTAATAGGAAATTCTTGATAGCTATTTCAAAAAATTCCTTAATTATTTTGATACAGTGGATGCTTTGATTTGTATCTTAAGTCTTTCTATTTGCAATGAGTAAGCAACACCAGTGTCCGGTCACTTAAATATCTGTTTAGTTCTAGCTGGATGTAGCAGCTCAGCAGGCATGAAGGATCCCTGTGTAGCTCTAGAATAACTAGCACTGCTGTGGCCATAGAGCATCTGGGGATCCCCAAGACTTTGGGGATAGTATCATATCCCTTTCTAAATGGATCTGTTAGAGGTGTATAATGGTTGCAACTGCCACCATCATCAAAGCATAGTTTGCATATGCTTGTAAATTGGATGTGACTCTGAATTAAGCCCACTTGCAACATGGGAGGAGGGGGGGGAGAGGGAGAAAAGGGGTGGTTTTCCTGGACAAAAGCATACTATTATAGTCAATTACGCATTTGTTCAGGGAGTTTCCTTTTGGAAAAAGACAAATGCTGTAGTGGCTCAATCTGAAGATGGAGTTGCATATGAGAGGGTTACTTTTCCTCTTGGTCATAGTTGTTCAGAGCTTCTTTTTTCTTTTTAGTTTAAACTCATATCCCAGGCATATGAAGTTCTGTCGGACCCAAAGAAAAGGGACCTCTATGACCAGGGTGGGGAGCAGGCTATTAAAGAAGGAGGCCTGAGTGGCGGCAGCTTCTCTTCACCCATGGACATCTTTGACATGTTCTTTGGTGGTGGAGGCCGAATGAATAGAGAGAGAAGAGGTACACAGTTCTAAACAAGTTCTAGAAACTCTAACCATGCACTTAAGCATAAAACACCTGTGCTATGGTACTGCTGTTCTGCTAAGTGTACATAGTGTGGATATTACTCATTGCAACAGTAGATCAAGTTAACTATGATTTTTTTAGTTACTCTAGCATTAAGATTCTGATAAAGTAGATAACATGGCGTAGCCATAGCAGTCTTTCTGATGAGTTCTGTTTATTTTTTGTTAAAGTGGGTGTGGGTAATGTGTAGGGGAGGGGGAGACATTGGTAGGTTAGAGATGTTGAATTAGACCTGTTTTAAGTTATCTTTTTTCTAGATCTGTGCCTTACTTGCTCATATGCTTTGGGCAACTTGCTTCAAAGGACACCATCAACTTAAACTTCAGTAATGTTAAATCTCATGGAAATATTTGGGAGAAATTATGTGAAACTGAGTACAGAGTGCTGCCAAAAGCACAGTATGATTTTTGTCTTTTTCCATACCCAAAGTCTGTTGAAGGAGCAAGTAGTAACTTGCTGTAAAATCTTTGAAATTATGCTACGAAGTGGCACGGAAATTTATAGGTAGGCATAATAGCAACTTCTAAATTGACTAGATCTGAAGCTGGTAGTGTCCTTGCATCTTGCTGTTTCAGTTAAGCTTATAAAATTAGGGGTAGGAGCAGGGATAGGGTGGCTTTAATGATGCTTTGCTTAATTACAGCTAAACTTTATGTTCTGTCATAAGTGGGTGCAGCTCAGTGGAAACAGATGGAACTGTACATGCTTTTAAGGGGGCTGGGCTGTGTTCAAAGTTTGGAATGAACTTTACATTTCCTCAGTGAGACTGCATGTATGAACAAGCATAGAAGACTTTAAATAAACATTTGTCCTTAAAACAGCTGAATCAGAATTAATCTTGCTCTTCTGTTTTTTTTTAAAGGCAAAAATGTTGTGCACCAGTTAGGTGTATCTCTTGAAGACTTATATAATGGTATTACAAGGAAACTGGCACTGCAAAAGAATGTTATTTGTGGAAAGTGTGAAGGTAAAAAAAAAAAAAGAGTAGTTTCAAACCCCTCTTACTCCAAGTTTTTTTGGTTTTTTTTTTTTGTTTTTTTAAAGAACATTGGCAGGGTGGGAGGCTGGGAATAAAGTGTGTGTGGGGGGGTATTTTTATTTTTCTCCCCTGCACCCCCCAAGTCTGCCCGAGTATTTTGTTCTTATTTATGCTTATCCATAGTGGTATAAAGTTATTGTTCTAATGGCAGACTTAAACTCACTGAGAATTATAGTTAAGGGTACCTAAATTAAAAGTGTCTTAATCTGGAACTTTAATAAATGGCTGTTTTGTTAAACTTTCTTTTAATTGCTGTTGGTAGAAGTCTAGCTTGGATTACACAACTTATTTTACAGCTATTAAGTATCTGTAATGACTAGTCTTTGAGGTAAATCTTAATGAAGTCTTGTATCTTAGTACACTATTAAATATTTAGTAAGCAGATTCTTTGAAAAATATTAATGGAATGTCTAGGTCTTGGAAGTTGGTATGCTGATAGTTCCTTGAAAACCAAGATGTATTGGAAGGTGGGGCAGAGGCTAATGAAATAAGCTGTGCATAGAAAACTTTACTTTCTTTTGCATGTAGAAACTTCTAACTCGTGGGGCATGTTTTGTGATGTAAATTAAATTCCAATTACATTGGAAATGTTACTGAACTACACTAAGTTGCCCTAAAAGTGCTCTTGAAGTCAATGAGTTCCAGCCTGACTACTGTCAAGTAATTTTATTTTTTTTTCGAGACTGAGATCAGCTTTAACTTTTTTGTCAAAGGTTATGGTGGAAAGAGAGGGGCAATAGAAAAGTGCCCTGTGTGTAAAGGAAGAGGAATGCAAGTTCTAGTTCAGCAGATTGGACCTGGAATGGTACAACAAATCCAAACTGTGTGTCCAGAATGCAAAGGCCAAGGTGAAAGAATAAATCCGAAGGACAGGTGTGACAACTGCAATGGCTGTAAGGTTGTAAGAGAGAAAAAGATCATAGAAGTTCATGTTGATAAAGGTAAGAAATGTGTATTTGTGCTATGTCCCTTACTGTAGTCTATAGTTCTGCAGAGAATAAATGGGTTTCTTTTCTCCAGGTATGAAAGATGGTCAGAAGATAGTATTTCATGGAGAAGGTGACCAGGAGCCTGATCTGGAGCCTGGTGATGTTATAATTGTGCTTGATCAAAAGGATCACAGTGTCTTTCAGAGGCGAGGGCATGACTTAATCACAAAAATGAGAATTCAACTCTCGGAGGCTTTATGTGGTTTCAGAAAGACCATTGAAACTCTGGATAACAGAGTTCTTGTCATATCATCTAGGCCAGGTAGGTCTTAAAGAGTTCTGATGCTACATAAACTGCTTGCCTGTTTCAGTGTGCCTGGACTGTTTTTTTCTGGGGGGGTGATGTTTTGTTTTAAACCAGTTGATGCAACAGATGCAAACTACACTTGCGGTCACTTAATTTAGTTCATTCTTGTCACTCCTAAAACTTTACATGCAGAATTACAGCTAAAGTTGTCAAATGCTTCTTAATAAACTTCAGCCTTGGTGGGTAGATAGCCAGGAAAATATTCAAGAGGCCAGAAACTTAGACTCTACTAGATTATCTGTTAATTCAGCCTGAAAGCTGTGCTAAGCAAACCTGCTTCTCTTACAGTAGAGGAAATAGCCTAAATGGCCTTACTTTTGTATAGCGTGGTTTTAGTACTTTTCAGTCTGCAGCCTTTTTCATGAGCTGCTAACTCATTTCCCTCAGATGCTGTGGGAACACTGCTTGTGTATAACCCTGCTTTTCATGGTTACGAAATGCCACGAAAGCTTACTTACAGCTCTTAATCTCCATGTAGGTGAAGTCATAAAACATGGTGACCTAAAGTGTATCTACAATGAAGGGATGCCTGTCTACAAATCTCCAATGGACAAAGGCAGCTTAATTATACAGTTTTTGGTAAGTTGACTGCTTTTCTGTAGCAAAGGTATCAGTGTTGGCATCAGGAGTAACTATTCATTAAAAAACCCCACCATATATGAAACTGTAGGTCCAGTTCCCAGAGCACTACTGGCTTCCAAGAGAGAAATTATGTCTGCTAGAGGCTCTGCTTCCTCCACGAGAAGATGTTATGATTACAGATGAGATGGATCAGGTAGACCTTGAAGATTTTGATCCAAGTGAGCAAACCTACCGTAACAGTGGGGGAGAAGCATATGAAGAAGATGAGGAGGGTCCAAGAACAGGAGTACAATGTCAGACATCTTAAAGCAAGGTGGAATGGATGTCATCTAAAATGTAAATTTTCACAATGAAAACTGCATGGCTGTAATAGCCACTGCTTGTGGTTTTTGTGTTCAGCAAATTGAGTTGCTGCGCTGTCAGTATCACCTTTTTGTAACTAATTTATATTGTGTTCTTGTAGTCTTTATATATAAAGCAAATGTCACACAGCTGAGACCCAACTGAGTTGGTATACATTTTCCTTTGCTGTGAAGGTTCTCAAATTATTTCACCTATGCTATTTATATAAGACTTTGGCAATATTGATAGAGGCTAAGTGGAGTGTCTTATGTAAATACTTTCATACTGGAAAATTAATTTCATAGAATAAAACATAGCAGAAGTAACTTCTAATAAATAGAACTCTTCACATTTTATCATGCTTCTCTTGTACTTTCTGAGCCACTCTAGTACCCCCTTCAAGGAAGTTTCTTTAAGCTCAGGCTCCTACCACCTAGTCTAGATTGTTCTCCATATTCATCTTTGTGTTAGCTGCAGTACTAGTACCTGTCTCATTTTGTATGTCCAAAGCATTTTGTGCATGCCCCAGTCCTTGCATAATAGTGTTCTTCCCTGTGTTCTTTTGTTGTAATAGAGTAGCATTCCTTCAGCTGCTTAGCTTCATGTAAGTGTAACTTAGAGTTATAAGATATCCTTCTAATGTGTATAGAGTGTACCCCACATACTTCTCACTTACATAAAGGCAAATATTTCCAAATAAAACTTTGATCTTTCAGAAGCTCAAGCTCTATATTTCACCCTTCCCTAGAAAGGGTTTTTACTTTCTCCTAGGTATTGTTTACTTGAGCCTTAACTAAGATGGATAAACCAAAACCACATGTGTTGGGTATACTGCTGCTGTTTTATAACATGAAAAGATACCACAGTAGAATGATCACATTAAAGCTTTTTTCCTTTTACCTTGTTTTCTAGTAGAGTTTGTATTAAGTCAGGGTTGGAAACAACTAGCACTCTTCAGTGAAGTTAAACCATGATGAATGAGCTGTATATCACCATACAATTACCAGAACAGGTGTTCAACTTGCATGACCCTACTGCATACATGGGGACAACATCCAGATGAGTGCAGGCTCTCCTTTCCCATGCGTACACCACCCAGCCTCACTCACTTTTCCTTCTGCTAAAATAAGCTGCTGTGAGATGTGGTCAACGCTTTCAGCTCCAGTCTATTTATGTATAAAGGCAGGGGAGATTAACTGTGCAGTTACTTCACCCATGACTACATATTTCCAAAAATACATTTTTCCAAAGATGAGACACAAGTTACTTGCATCTGTAGCTTTTATTTAAAAAAAAAAAGTAAAGCTTTCTCTCATGTTAAACAAAATCAAAATTACATACAAACATACCTGATTTTGCAGATCAGCATTACTAAAATGCTTTTATAATACTAAAAAAATGACGTAGAAGGATGATAGTATTCCCAGATACTGCCACAAGAGTGAACCAGAGGGTCTGAGTTAAGACACTTAAACTGGACAGTCATAAATATGAATTTCTTGATCATCTCCAACAGATACAATTTTGGACCCACTTCCATTGTACTTCACTCCCCAAACCTGCAAAGAGGACATACACAAGGTTAGTGACAGGGAATGAAAAAATGTCTTCATAGCAGTCATATTTACTGACTACAACAAGGAGAAGAAGGAAGATTATTTAAGATCACCTTATTAGAGCTGGCCTGATCATGGCTTCTGCTTAACAGCAGATGAGCTTGATGCACCAGAGGAGGACACTGCCATCTAGTAGCCTGACAAGTTTGTACATTCCACTCCTACTGATGATGGATTACACAATCTAAAGACACTTGAAAAAGGCTGAAATGTACTTGCCCTGCTTTGTGCAAATCAGGCCTAACATTTTCACTCTTATCCATCCCATCTTTCCTTTCTGAAAAGAGTTATTTTACAGTGCTTTCAGGAAAGCAAGAGAGGAAGTATTGTTCACGCAGACTGACAGATCATGACAGACTGAAGAATGATCCAGTTTATCCTTGGGCTAATTAAGTGAACCATTTACTTATCAGTGCAAAACTCAGAAAAATTCAGGTCAGTCCTCTGACTTGACTTAACAACAGTTACAAAACTCTTAAGTGACCCCCATCTCCATCAGGAAGAGTGAAGGCTACCCAGCATATTAGCATGGGATTGCAGAATGGGTATATTGACAACAGCATGTTTTGTGGAATCTTCTATACCATTTTGCATTAAAAAGAGCCTTACCAAAAGCCGATATACATCTCTACCTTCCACAAACTTAGAAGGTTATAAACAACAGCTAAAACAACACTGGAAATCCAATTCTGCTTGGTACTTCAATACTAAAACCCCCACAGCTATAGATAACTGAAAAGAAGGTTACCAGCAAAAAAGTACTATGGAAGAAATAGCCCAAATAAAATCTGAAATAATTTCCTTTAAGTCTTCCTCTATGATCCATTAAAAAATAGCATCATTCCACTTAACACCTAACATTTGGTAGATACCCGACTTCCCTCACAGGTAGCTATCACTGAGGGGATAAAAAAAAAAAAGTAGGGTATTACAGACATAAGAGGAGGAAAAAGTCCCAAGTTTCAAGGGAGCTTTCAAGCACCTTTTTAGATAATTCCATCCTTTTAAATAAGTATTTTCCCCCCTTACACATTCACACACGTTGTAAGTGATAGAAATAAGTAAGACCATAGACAAAAGATAAAATATACAGTCTGGTAAGAATCCTTTTGGCCACTCAGGATTGCCTTTATTTGGACCTGAAAAATGTAATTACTTAGAAGAGATCAACCTACACGCTTGGAGTATTAGTTCAATATTAAGTGCCAAAAAATGATGAACAATTTCTAAGATTTCGTTACAGCAAGGTAAAGCGCAACCCTGAAGCTACAGCACCAAGTTGAAGCACAAATGTGCACAACTACATAACTAAAGTTCTCCTGTGAACACAGTGACCTAGATAAAGCAATAGTAGACATACCTGATCTTGGTGGTCCAAGAAAGTGTGAACACAGGTTCTCGTTCCAGCATCCCAAACTTTTACACTTTTATCAGATGAACTGAAAGAAAAATATTATTGATCAATATTTAAATTAATAGATTAACTACAGTTTAGTGCAAAGCTTAAAAGATCTCATACAGTAGACATAACAAACCCTCTTTCACCCATTAAGTAGAGGGATGAAGTAGCAAAGGAGCACATCTTCTGCCAGGTTCCAGTTACCTTTAAAATACTTGTATTGTTTCAATATCTACAACATGAAAACAAAGACTCCCATTTTAGCCAGAAAATTCTTTGAAGCAAGTTCTTTGGATAAAGACACTCCTGTTACATATACTTGGTCCCCCAACTGCCTAAGCTGCTCTAAGAGTTAACACTAAAGTTCAACTAGATGAATGTACTACTACATGAGGTTGTACTTTTTAATTCAACAGCATTTTTTCAGTATTGAGATTCAAATTGCCCTTCTCTTAGGTTTAGATGTTCTTCACCTGTAGGGAACTACAACACTGCAGTGGGATGACTTGCACTAAATACTATTCACTACAACTGTTATCACATCACAGATTGGCTCTTGAGTCTTTAATTGTAATGTATGTTATCCCATTTGTCCTGGTTTCAGCTGGGATATAGTTAACTGTCTTCCTAGTAGCTGGTACAGTGCTATGTTTTGAGTTCAGTATGTGAAGAATGTTGATAACACTGATGTTTTCAGTTGTTGCTCAGTAGTGTTTAGACTAGAGTCAAGGATTTTTCAGCTTCTCATGCCCAGCCAGGGCACCTGACCCAAAGTGGCCAACAGTGTATTCCATACCATGTGACGTCCCATCTAGTTTAGGAACTGGGAAGTGGGGGGCAGGGATTGGCCGCTCAGGGACTGGCTGGGTGTCGGTCGGCGGGTGGTGAGCAGTTGCCCTGCGCATCATTTGTACATTTCAATCCTTTTATTACTACTGTTGTCATTTTATTAGTGTTATCATTCTCATTATTAGTTTCTTCTTTTCTGTTCTATTAAATCGTTCTTATCTCAACCCAGGAGTTTTATTTCTTTTCCTGATTTTCTCCCCCATCCCACTGGATGGGGGGGGAGTGAGTGAGCGGCTGCATGGTGCTTAGTTGCTGGCTGGGGTTAAACCATGACACCATTATAGATTCCATTGCAATTTGTACACATTTACTTTTTATGATCTGTCTCCCTTTATAATTTTTTTTTTTTCAGTAAGCATAAACAAGTTAAAAATCTTCAATACCTGGAAACAAAATGGGTATCATCAGGACAAAATGCTACATTTAATACCCAGGATCCATGACCACTTAACGTGCCAGCCAAGTTTGCATGTTGCCTGTGGAAAGAACAAATTTTAACATTTGAGTTGTGAATTCCAGGGAAAAAGCAACAGGAATATACTCTAGCTAGTGCAGTCGGGAATGGTTCAGTGCAAGGTCATGGAAGGTGACTTCTGGACATTTGTTCATCCAAGCTGAAATGGTGTTATAACAGATTCTGGTTTTCCATTTCAAATGGTTAACATAAAAAGAAGTCACTAAGAAGATGCACTGGTGGACAAAACATTTTCAGCATGAAGAAGGCAAAGTAGTGCAGGTTTAGGGGAGTGAAGATTACTACAGCAGTGCCTTTTCCTCCCAGGGTCTTCCAAGTTTTTGCACAATGCAACAGAAATAGGTCATAAATATAATTTCTTGGGTACAGAACAGATGTTTAAGATGGGTAAACACAAACACACAGGACAGATATACAAAACAATTAGCCTGTTGCCTACAGGGCAAATATGAGGGAAGTAATTTGTTTTCAAGTTAAGGCTGGCATCCACCTATGCATTTTTTAAAAACAATCTAAGTGCATAGTACTTTAAGATTATTTATTACATAAAGAAGTCACCAAAAGCTCAAGGGAATTATAGAGAGCAGAGGATTTAATGTATTTTTTACAGTATCAGCCTTTCTGAACAGTTATTTTCCTGTTAGCGTGTCTTGCAAAATAACAACTTACACATCGTAGATTTTGATATAGCCGTCATCTGAAGCAGTTACAAGTAACTGAGAATCTGGAGAAAATGTCAGTGAACGAATAGGCATTGCATGACCTGAAATTCAAAGTTATATATGGCTTAGAATGTAGCTATTCCTCTTACTAATGACAGTGCTTAAGAAGCTACACCAGAACAGCATTCCCTGTGAAAAGAAAGCAATCTCTGAAGAGTCTTTCCCTCTATGCCTCTACAGGCTTCTTCTCACAACATAAAATGGAAACTGACAGTAATTATGAACTTTGAATGTTAAGGCATGTCCACTGCAACACAAAAGTATCTTATTTTTTCAGCTGTGGATCTTTATTACAAATTAGGTCACATTTTCTAATATTATTTCGTATTTTTTAAGTGGTTGGGGTTTTTAATTAAGTCTACAACTGGACAGATACTGCATAAACATTAAAAGCCCATTCATCTGTTAGAAAAATGCACATCTTCTAAAACATAAAATGTTTGGTTATTTTTTAAAATGGGAATAAATTGCTGTAAAACTGATACCATAGTGAAAAGAAAAATCATACGCATGGCAGCACACATTTGGCTTAGCTTCATTCCCTTGTACTGCACTGCAATACAAGAAGAAACTGCAACTTAAGAATTTAATTAAGCATTACTGACTGTACCTTTTGAGATAGGCATTTATGATGCAAGCCTGAGTTTACAGTTTGCCTCCAATATTCTAATATTTTAGGTGGTTTAAGTAACAGCACACTAAATAACAAAATACTGCCTAATGGACAAAAACATCAACCATTTATGCCATGGCTGTTGTATCTTATTCTGACTTGCGTTATATCCTTTAATTTTGTTGAGGAATGAAGTCACAACTTGGATATTGCAAATACACAAACCATTACCTTCTAGCGTATGCAGAAGTTTTCCAGTTGCGATATCAAAAATATTGATAATGCCATCTATCGCTCCACTGGCTAAGTATTTTCCATCTGGACTCTGTAATAAAACACAAAAAGTATGCATTTAACAACTGTTTGCATTTATGCTATGTACCTCCCCGACATGCTCTTGGCAACTTTTCACAAATATGATCTATGCAAGATACCTGGCCTCCAAAAATCCTGAAGACTTCAGCTAACTTATTCACTATACATGTATAAGCAAGATCAAAGTACATTTCTGATAGATGAAGGGGGGAATGTCATGCAGTTTATATTTGGAACTATCAAAGAATGGCTGTCATTTAATATTACGTAGAGATAAACTGATAGATGGAAACAAAAATATCTGATTTGTAACAATTAGAGCAACAGCAATTTCACATAAGAAATTATCAATTCTGCTTCTTACATATGCAATGCTAAGGATGAACTTTCCTCTGGTGTCCAGAGAATATTCTTTCTTTCCGGTTTCAACACCAAAAATATTTACTTTTCCCACATGACTTCCTGTTGCAAGGTACTGGGAATCAGGTGAAAAAGCCAGGGACCAAGCATCAACTGTATTAAAAAGAAAAAAATCAGTTAGCTGAATGCTCTTTCTAGTTCTTATTCAACAATGTCAGTTCTGTATGCATCAGTTTAGACATTTGACCCCCTAACTGCTTTTCTTAATACTACCACTCTTAATACTCTAAACTCTACTACATACTCATAAGAAGAGTGTACAAGCTCACGAAAGGTAACATCCTCCTATGGAAGCAATTAATGGAGCATAGCTTGAGCCATTTATTTCCATTTAGTGAAAGATTACATTTTCTAGTAAGACCTTGAGCTTGTTAGATCCTCCTGTAACAATAAATTTAGATTTTAAGACTGCATGAGTTAAGTCTAAATTCTTACTTTTCTCTTGGTATCAAAAGATATTAAACCAGTAAGAGAAAGCAACACTAGCATCTAGCAAAGCAAAGAAGATGCAGAAGAAATGCAGATATATGAACATAACATAGATCAACATTCCTTGCAACGGAATTTAAAAAAACATACCTTTTTACAGCAGTACAATGTGTTTATCTGGCACAATATAATTCACAGTTTTTTTTTTCTATAAGCTTAATATTAATTACCTAAAACACTGCAAGATTATTCTTAAATTAGGAAATGCCAGTGGACCAATGAAATATTTAGGATAAGATCTTAGGCCCTGAATTCCAACCTGGAGGATGTAACATTGATTCAGACTTCAGTTTTGTGTTTTGACTTGCTCACTCAGGATTGGATGTACTGCATAAACAAACATCACATATACAGCTCAAATTCAGTGCAGTGCAGTGCTTATGAAGAAAGTTCAGGCTGTCTTTGTAAATCAATTTGAATAAGCATTTGGATTATTTTTTAAAATATCCTTTTATCAATACATCTGTAAGAGCAAGCAGAATGGTTTCCATTCTTCCATCTTCCATTCTTAGATGCTTTATGCATCTAGCAAAAAGCATATCTAAATGTATCCAAGAAAGCGTAAGTCGTGTGAAAAAATAAATGTAAAGTTGTCTGATACTACTTCTATGTTCATAAAATCACTAAGATTTTTGCAAAGAAAGATTTAAAAAAAAAAAACTAGTCATCTCATATACCCTAATTATACACTGTACAGTATTTACTCTCTAGAGTAAGTATACTTCTTACGCAGAGACAGCTTAACACTGAAATCTTACCAGGACCAGCATCTATTGACTTGATTTGTTTGCCAGTTTCTAAATCCCAAAGGCGAATATGGGCATCTAGGGAGCTGGATGCTGCAATGGAGCCCGTGTGGCTGATATCCACAGATACCACGCCCAGCTGGTGACCCTCCAAAGTCCACTGTAGATCCAATTTTTCATCATTCCTTTTTTTCAAGGGAAAGAAAACCCTAGTTATGAATAGCTGGGGGGACTTAACTGATCTCCAACCTCAGACAAAACAAACAAACAAGACAACCCACATTTCTGCATTTTGTTCAACAAAAGGGGAATCTAACTTCACCCATGAAATGTGAAGATTGCTACACACAAATTGCTCTCTGTACTTACAGGAAAGAACCAACAGATCAATCATTTACCGTATTTCTGCAAAGCATGTACTTCACCTTAAGTCTGTAAGCAGTCCCACGGAAATTTCCATTGCACATCAATACATGGGTACTTACACAGCAGACTGTTAATCTGTCAGCATAGCGTGAAATGCAATGACCGATGTTTTTATAATCACCACAACAGAGCTACTCATGTCATTGAAGTGAAGCACATACTTAATACTGCTTTGGCTAAGAGACAGAACAATTTCTTCGCAAAACCACACTTCTGTGTCACTTGTATGAGGATTATGAGGATTTTTTATTTTTTTAATTAAAAAGATGTCATTTCCTCTTTTACTCTATTCCCATTATTCCTTTCACAGTACCCATGCTCCCAGTGCATTGTCTCATAAGAACGTGCATTTCTAATTCTTTGGTTTAGAAATACATCAAGTAGTACTTTTCTCTGGCAGACGACATATAAAATTTGACACACATTTGCAAAAAGGTTCACGTTCTTCGAAAATTAGAAGCATATCAGAATGCCACCACTCCAAGGGAAAGCACATATCAATGCGGATAAACTTGCTCAAGAGAACAGTTCTGTGTGCCAGGCTACCCCTTCCCTCATGTAACTTCTAACATCCCTGCAAATTATGGAAATTCAAGACTGCTGTATCTCCATAATGGCTACTTCCAAGGCGTAAAACTGGTTAATATGGAGTGCTTCACTTACCACTTCCAGACCTTCACTAGATCATCCAAAGAACCAGAGATCACTGTTTCAGAACCATCTTTTTTATTTTTCCCCCAGGCAACTGACCAAATGGCATCATCGTGAGCTAAAAGAGAATTTAAGCATAGAAATTAAAAATTAAGTGTTTCCTTTTGATGGAAGACAACTACCAGTTTTGGTAATGCTAAAACTGCCGACTGTAACGTTGACAATAGACCTTGCTCTTCAGGTCTATCGGTGCTCCCAGAGCCTTGTCACTGTTTTCATCGTTTGAAAACACATGATGCACTCTGTTCACCAAGGTCACTGTTGAAAAGACCACATAGCTATTTTTGAGTTATTCAGATTTATACTTAATATAAACATAGCCAGGTCATCTCACGGGTACATCTGCCATTATCAATTTTACATCATCCAAGAAGACCAGTATTATTGAATACATGTCAGTGCTTTCTCACCTTGCTCTTGCTTGAAGAGAATACCGTACTAGAAAGAAAAAATAATTAATATTACGTATGAGCAGCCTAAAAAAAATATCAAGGTAGCGATTAGTTTGATTAGCACTGCTTTTTTATTTACCTGTGTGGTCATGTCTTTATGGCAGCAATCTTAACAGCAATGCCCTGGAAGGAGAAAACCCACCCATTAGGCTCAGCAATAAGACTCTACCTCAGAGACACCGTTCGGGAAGGAGAAAACGCGGCAGGCACAGGATTTCCCGAGGGAAACCCGGCCTTTCTGTCACCCTCCGCTCGCACGGCGGGAAGCGCACGCCACGCAAAGGCCCGGCACCCCCGCCGCGGCCTCCCTTCGGCCCGCCGCCGC